GAGGGTGTGGCTACCACGAGGGCAAGAGTAAAAAGTGAAATGCACAGTAGTGTGCAAGGTAAAATACCTGTTCAGTGGAGGAAGTAATTCATTTTATACAAGATGGAGAAAACATCCACCCAGTTACAACTAGAACTGTGTAAAACCTGACTAGAAGCACAGTATCATGGGAGCTTATGCAATTTCTACCTCTGTAGTTTCTTACAGGATTGGGCCACAGACTCACCTCAAATGCTTGAAAAACTAGTCGTGCGGTTTACTCAGAAGTTTGGACAGCCAAGTGTAGTGGAGCAGGCCTGTGATCCCCACACCCTCAGAGGTTGACAGGGAGGACTGCCAAGTTTGAGCCAGTCTAAAACAACTTAGCAAAACCATGTCTCAAGATAGAACATAAAAAAATCAAAAAAATAGCTCATTCCAAAAATACTGGGAACAATCCCTGGGACAGTGAAGAAGAGAAAAGAGGAGGAAAAAGAGGAGGAGGAGGAGGAGGAGGAGAAGGAGGAGGTGGAGGCAGAGGAGGAGGCAGGCGAAGCAGCTCTGAGCCCTACAATCTGGTTTTTACCAAGTCCCATTTTGGTCCATGGGCTAAGACCTCCATAAGCCAAAATGTGGTCCATGAGGCAGGAGCAGCATTCTCAGGCCCCATCCCGGACCTGCCGGGTCAGCGTCTCCGCCCTTTAGCAAGATCCCAAGGCAGTTTCTCCATGCCCCACAGGTGAAGTTTATAGCATCCCACTCCTGCTATGCATTCACCGCGGATGGAAGTCCCGTGACCCGAGCCACTCTTAGTGAACCGGTGAGGAACCTAAGAGCTCTGTTTCGGTGCGCAGTTTCCTTCCAGTCTCATGTTCTAGATTTCCACCAAGCGCTGATGAAGAATGACAAAAATACTTAATTCTAAATGTCTCCTACAATTTTACTGAGGCTCAACAGCTCAGCGTGGGCGATCGGGTGTTTTGAGTGTTTCCAAAATTCCCTTTCAAAATGTTTTTATTAGTAAAACATGGTTCCCTATCCCTAAATTTCTAATAATTCTCCCATAATTCATAGTTTTTCTTTTTTGAAAGACAGACAAGCATTTGCAAATCCTGTCCGCTAGCTGTCTTTGCCCCACTAAGATAACCAACCTATGAAGGGCAGGACACTTGGGTGTCCCGCGGGAAAGCTACCCTGAGTCACGCTGTCCTTGTGCTAAAGCTTCAGGTCCTCTTTTCCTCACTTGGAATTGGGGTTGCTTCACATTTTTACCCTCTCTGGCTCCTGCTTCCAAGAGTGCTGTATGCTCTTCCCTAATTAGGGAGAACTCTTTCAGCCACCTTTCTCTGGTTAGGAAAGAAGAAATTCTGCTTCTGTCCAACTCTTACCAGGTACCTAGGAACAATACACTTAGTATAATATTATAACATGAAAATACTTTTTCTTACAAAGAAATTTTTAAAAAATAACTTTTAAACTTACCAACCTGACAAGTTCATGATCGAGTACATAGAAATTTAGGTTAATATACAAGTTTGCCCTTCATCTTTCCTTAACATTACATCAAAAATTTTTAGTATTATTATAGGCTTCATAACATTTGAATGTTCATGTAATATTTCAGTATGGATCGGCTACAAATATATAATCAATCTGCTACTCTTGGCTACATAATTGACTTCTAATTTTTCATTATTAGAAATAACCTCCAAAATCTAATTTTAGAGACTCCAAGATTGGATGCCCATATTTGATAGTTACTGTTAAAGAAAGGAATACTGGCCAGTGGCCAGGATTACATTGCTAACTTCCTTCAGTTAAGCTATTCATAAGTATGTACCATGAATCACAAAGGGGGACAGGCAGAAAAAATGCAAAAAAAAAATCTAATTATTCTCATCTTAGAAATCATTTAAAATCACATGTTCTCCTCATTGACTCAAGTTTTCACTTTCATCTTAGAGTCAGTATACAAGGTATAATCAAAATCTATGGTGAATGTTTAAATTGTTAAAAGTGGATTGCAGAGAAAAACACATTGCTGTTAATTCCCCTCAAAATACACCCCCTGGCTTCAAACACATTTATTCTGTCACTCTTGCCACTTGTAGAACCCCTCTTCTAGAAGTCCTCTTTCATGAGGACCTTTCCTTGTCAACCTGGATTTCCTGAGTGTCTTCCAAATGTAACCATTTCTGTCACATAAAAACATTACACTGTGTCCTCACACACTTTATCCATGGTGCAAGTCCTGGCTCTTCCCCAGAGTCAAAATAACATTGAAAGGGTGATGTTTTGATCTGATTTTGATAATGTAATTTTTTTTAATTTAAACATTCTCTGTATTTTTATCACACTTATTGTGGTGTTAATTATGTATGAGGTTCACTTCATTGCACTTAAAGTTGCTCAGTTACAAACCATCTCTGGGTTATACAATTGTCTGTTTCCCACCTATGGCTACAATGGAGTAGAACTGAACATACTCAGCTCTAAGCGGTAGCCTTTTAATACTGCTACAATTTGATTACATTCTTACATTCTGTTCTGCAGTATAGAATCAAAAATGTAGCCACCATTTAGAATTTGTTTAGCCTTTATTTAGATCATACTTGGTCCACCATTTCTTTTAGAGCTACCTTTCTGGTCTTCTACCCTGTTTAAATTACTATTGTTATCCAAAGAATAAAGGTCGCACTGATTTTTTGTGGTTCATGAAAGAGACAGTGAGAGTCGCACTAAATGGCCCAACTTTGAAGGCAGAGTTTTCTCTGATTGTGAAAAAAGGATGTTCCAGGCCCTGGAGAGAGCAGAGGGGCAGAAAACCTAGGGGAAGCATGACCAATTTTGTTTTGCTGAATAAAAGAAAATGGAGAAAATAATTTTTAAAGATAAATTTGGGAAGAAATCGTGGAAGACTTTGAAGATCAGGACAGAGTCTGGAAAGGAAGCTATTTCAAGTTATAGCAAACCCAAACAATATTTGTGCCCCAGGATGACTTAGCGGGGTAAAGTGATGGAAGACACAAGTCCCAGACTGAGGCACTGGGGTGGAGAGGAGCCTAAGCCTGAGGGAAGAGGCAGCGATAAGAATAGAGGGAGGACAAGGGGAGGATCTACAGGAAGGAACAGAAGCACAGCCCTGTGACTAGGACCAGAAAAGCTGCTCCCAGCCAGTAGCTCCAAGCCCAAAACAAACTCTCCTTTATCGCAGTACTTTTTATCTCTCTGCTCACAAGGATGCCTTCCAAAGCAGGAAAAGGCCTGGGAGTGTAGCTCAGTGGGTAGTGTGCAGGTCAAGAAAAAAATGAAAGAAGAAAAGAAAGAGAGGAGGAGGGAGGAGAGAAAAAGAGATTAGAAAAAAATATGCAGGTTTCAGTACAAAGCAAGCTAAAACAGTTGTCTGAGACACTGCAGCTAGAATGGGAAACGGTCTTGTGTCACTGCCTTTATTCATGCATGCTGAAAAGATGCATGTGTTATGTTTTGTTTCAATTTTTGACCAGAGGCTTCCCAGCCTCTGAATGTGGCCACTGCAGTTTCTAAACATCTGGCCAGACTCCAGTGACAAGGCTGCCTGTCCCTACCTTTCCCAAGAAGATGGAAAAACCCATTAGGGAAGGCACTTGGGGTAATCTTCACCTTCTGTGAGAAGCAGTTATTAAAGAGAGTTAGATTGGCTGAGCCCACTACAGGTGTAAGTTGAGAAAAAGTGTTGTATCAGAGATGACGGTAGTGCCTTTGTTTAAAATTAAAACTGCTGGGTAATTTAGAAATAACAAGTAAAACACAAAATATGCACTTGTGAGCTAGCAATTTCACTTTAAGTGTTTTGGGTAGAGCAGTGCAAACAATGTTAGTGATAGATATAGATAGATAAATAGAAATATATTATGTATATATTATATATATATATGAGTATATAAGAAATATTTTAAATATATATATAAAGATATCCACAAAAGTGCAATTTATAATAACCAATAGTCAGGAAGGCCCAGATGTACATTATACAGAGTGACTCAATGAGTACTGATTAACCAGGCCAAGCAAAATTCTTCAAGCAGTTAGAAAGAATGAGCTAGACCTGTTTTTACTAACAAGGAAAGATTTACAAGACTTAAATGAAAGAAATTATCTAGTGCACAATGATATGCAAAATATTAACACGTTTTTGAGATTTACAAGGATGGGGAAAAGACAGACCATATGCACAAGTGGTGTTGGAAATATTCACGGGGAGAACTGCAGCTGCATCACCTGCGTATGTGTGTGTGTGTGTGTGTGTGTGTGTATGTGTGCGCACTTCTGGGGATGAACCAGGGCTTGTGTATGCTAGTCTACTGCTCTACTGCTGACCTACATCCGAAGTCCTCACCCCAGATCCTTTATTTAGACACAGTCTCGCTAATTTGCCCAACCAAGCCTTAAACTTTTAATCTTTCTGACTCTGTCTCCTGAGGAGCTGTCATCATGCCTAACTCTTCTATTTTATATTTACATGGAGACTAAATATCTGGCAATTGCTTTGTGTTTCAAATGTGTTTCAATTTTTATGGAAAATTTTTAAATTTATTAGTCCTAATGAGTTGACACTGGGTAAGAGAGTGTGCTAGGGATTGAAGCCAGGGCCTTCCTACTGAGCTACACATCCTACCTCTTTTTTTTTTTTTTTTTTGGTACAAAATCTTGCTGAACTGATAAATTGCCCAGACTGGCCTCAAACTTGCCATTTTTCTGCTTCATCCTCCCAAAGTGCTGGGATTATAGTCATGTATCTCCACACTCAGCCTGATTTTTCAACTTGTTAGATCTTATGCCAAATATATCTTTCCTCCAAATTGATTGTTTAAAAAAAGTAGTGGAAATACACACACACACACACACACACACACATTTATATGAGATAGATGATACATATATACATAGATAGATAGATAGATAGATAGATAGATAGATAGATAGATAGATACAAAGACCTCACTGACTTTCCCTAGCATGCATGAGGCCCTGAGTTTGATCTGCAGAATTGAAAACACACAAAAAAAGTTAATAACATACTGGTTTAATCCAAAGGTTAATGGTTGGATAACAGATACAGATAGAAGCACAGAAAGACTAACTTCCTTTGGCCAATCTCCAGAAGAGCCACCAATTTTGTGTAGGATATCAAGGCGACTCTGCCCAGTAGAATCGTGGGGCCCCACAACTGAAACAGTGTGACAAGATAAATAGCAAGGGGGCCAGGCACTGAGCTACCAGTGCAGGAAAAGCCACGTGTGCGTCATATTTTAGAAGGAGTGTGAAACATCAATAAACTTAGTTGAGACCCATGAATGAAACTGGTTTAAAATCAGAACTAAACTAATCTAGAGTGCAACTTATTCACTGAAATATTTTTCTAGGCTTAGAAGTCAGCGAAAACACATTGTTTTCTAATTAGAAACTATGTCTATAGTACCTTTATATCAGTTCCAATTTTAGAGGACAAGGTCCTGCTAATGCAATTTTGATATAGCTTAGCAGATAATGACTGTCAGGAAGATGTCTTTCGCTCCCTCTGGAGTTTTTCACTGAAGAACTTGATGGTATTTTGGGGTAAAGTGTCATAAGCGGGATTCTAGCACATGATGGCGAAGAAAATATTAACCGGCTGTGTTGCCAAGAGCTGGGTTAATCCTTCAAGCAATTTAAAAGACAACCAGAACAGAAAGAATAAAGGAGAGTTTATTCTGAAAAATACTAAAATACCTCTACCTGTAACATGCCCTTTTGGTGGATTTCAGTGATTCTGGTCACACTGCTTGGGCTCCTTGACTTAAAAGAAGTTGTGTTTTAATATGTCATTTTTTTATGCGTCTAAAGGTAGCAATAACCACTAAAACTGCTTTTGAAATGCATATCTCCGGAACCCAAGCTCGCACACAATGTGCGTGGCTTAGCACGTGAGAGTCACTCTGGGAAAAGGGTGTTTAATGAGTAACTTTACAGTAGAAGGCCCCGAGAACTTCCTCTAAACATTAGACCGGGCTCTCCTTCTGAAATACATTAACAGCCTCCAGAAGGCTCACAGGCGCTGGTTACCATGCGAAGCAGCTGTAGGACGTATCCACTCCCACGCAGGGAAAGGTCGGGGCACACTCCGCAGCCTCCCCCACCAGGGCTGTGTTTGGAGATCGCGTTGACTGGAATTCTGCTGGAGAGAAAGATTGATAAAGCCAAGCAATCGGAGTTATTTCCTATGCATGAAATTGATTAAATGCTTCACTAAATGGCTTATAAATTTGCTTCTCATATTTCTGTCACCCACTGAAAAGATTACAGAAACTCTGCATATAACCATGTTGTATACAATACCAAATTACAAAAGGTTGTAAAAACTAATGTTTTGTTTAAAGTTTTGAGCAGGACCATATGCCTTCAGTGACCTTGAGTAAGCTATTTTAATTCAAAACATTTCAAAGAATATAAAGGGGAGAGATATTCAACTACATAACAAACCAGACAAGCGGTGGGTAGACCTCTGGAGAACTCCTTTCTACAGGGTGGAGCGTGGCTCCCCTCAAACGCCTTGTGCCTGGAAAGCTGAGAAGCACATGTGGTGTCTACAGGGATATGTTTACAAAGGAGATGAGAAGAAAGCCAGCAAGACCTCCCAAAGTTGAGTCTACTCCATTATTTTTAGTTCAGAAAGAAATATCCCAATGAGTTGAGTCTTAGATCGACTTTCGCGTAGAAAAGACAACGGTTATTAGCATGGTGGGGTGGGATTGTTTTATTTAGGGTTCTTGTTTTGTTTGTAATCTTCCACCAACTTTGCAATGTCCCTTGCATTCCATTCTTTCTTCCATGTGAGAATTCCTTCTAACTATTGTGTAACAAAGGGCTGGGCGTAGCCTACCAGCGATTTATAGGCAAGCAGGTGACCTGCAGATGTTACTTGGGAAACTAAACCCTTTCTTAGCGTGGCCTTCCCTTCTATGGGGAAAATGATATTCCTCCGTAGCATTTATAAGACATGATGTCCTCAGCAAGAATTAACATTTGGAATTAATGCACAGTTTCAGGAGTGACTTCAAGAGAAGAAGTTTTATAACCAGCTACGTGCTTAAAATCCCCACTGGCCTGATCTCCTCCGATCTGATCTCCATCACTTGCCCAGATAGTTGCTATGGAGACAAAGATGGCAGCCACAGCCCGTGACCCTCTGCAAGCCTGGAGGTAGCAATGACCTGAGCTGTCCTGGCGATGGAAGGAGCAGGCATCCCTTCTAACGTGAGGTCTGGCCTGGGGCATATCCAAGTCTGCCTGCAGTTTTGGGGTGCTTGTAAGAAGTTGTGATGGAATTACCCCTCGTGTATGAAAACACAACGTGATCCCACTTGTAAAACCCAAATAATTTTTTTTCCAATGAGTATCTATTCTGGGAGATATGCCAACACTTCAGGGATGATTTAACCAGACCATCAACAGCTAGACAACTTATTCAACTCTTTGGTGATGGTTACATGAACCTTCTTTTTGGCATTAGGCCACCACATAAGAAATCCTGATGCCAGATACAGAGTGTTTCAGAAATTATAAGAAAGAGGCTCCTCACTGAATAGTACATAGAGCTCACCTCTACACCCAAGTATTTGTCATCTTAAAAGTTTGACTTCTGAAAGTTGATCTTCAGACATGAATTCTATGAGGTTATCCTTTATAAAAGGGTTTTGGTGATCAAATTCACTTGAGGACGCCTTCCCTGGAGATACACAGTGCATAGGAGGGTGTTAGTGGCTTCCGGGGACTCTGCTGCAAACAGTCCTGGTCACTTTGACCCATGTTTCTCTCTGGACTCCAGACATTCTAACAACTTACAATTGTTCTTTCAAACATACTGTGTAGAACGCTGATTAAATCTTTTGCATATTTGGCAGACTAATCCAACTTTGGGAAAATCCAGCAACTTCTGGGTTGCTTCAGAAGAAAGACTGTTGGCCAAAAATTCTTTTTAAAAAAAGTCTCTCACCCTGCTACAAGAAGGTCATTGCCAGTTGCCTTCTCCTTGCATTGTGTGGACCAGAGTCCATCCACATCCTCCTCTCCTGACGAAGGCATGTTGTGCATTCTGTGGCTATGAAAGGCAAATGATTCTAGTTTTCTTTTAAGATTAGTTACAAATCCACCCTGCCTTCCTCCTTCAAAAGACAGAATCTATGTTTATTCTTCCCTTGCCTTAATCAAAGTCATTCATGCATCAAGATCACTCAAGACAACCTGGCAGGGCAGCGATAAATGAAAATGACATCATTACAAATATAATATTAGACCTATTATAATTTCTTAAAGCAAATCATTTGCAAACTTCAGCATACTAACTAGTAGGAGTAACAAATTCCCTGTGAGGGAACTCAGCGATGACCAGGGACTTGCTGTGCTGTGCTGTCGCCTTGGTGGGGATCTTTGCTCTAAACCATGGGTCTCCAACTGGAAAGAGCATCTGACCGGCCTGCAGGCCAATTCAGCAGGTTTAGGGAAGTACCTGAGAGCCTGCATTTCTAACCCCCTCCTTGCGGATGCCTGGGGCCAGCACTTTGGTAATTACAGCTTACAGCAGTGCCCCAACCTGTCTGGTCAGCCTTACCTGGAGTCTTTGATTACAAACATCAAGCCCCAGCCCTACTTCCAGACTTCTGAGATGGGCTGGGAAGATGATTCCATCTGTTTAATCAACTCCCCTGGTTCAGACCATCCAGGGCTAAACTTCTGCAGTGTGAGATGGGGCCTCGGACCTTGGACCCCAGCGTGCCTCTGAGCCCCGGGCCTCTTGTAGAGGCCTCTTCAAAGTGCAAGAAGTCTGCAGACACGTGAATGCCTCATCCAATAACTTGTCCAGTAATTGGTATATTGATTGCTAGTGTCATCGTGTTTTAGTATATATAAAACCCTCACTCTATTACACAACCCCCTACAACCCAAAAAGTCATTGTTTATTCATTGTAACTCCCAAACTGGCCCTTGTCAGCTCCTGCTGGAGGGCTTGCTGATAAAAATCAGCAGATGATTGGACACACGCATTCTTAACATGACTGACCCATGGCATCTTAGAGGGCAGCCTGAGAGCCTGTCATTACAGCACAATGCTTTTCTTTCTTCCTCCTTATCTAGCCCAGAAGATTTTGAGATTTTTATTAACTCCTTATTGACTGAAGATGTCATTAAAGCCAATGGGAAAGCTTTCTTTTCTCTTTCTTCCTTCCTTTCTTTTTTATTTTAAGTGGGAATAAGTGTACAATTTTCTGGGAGGGGAGGAGGGTTTGGCTGATGAAATAGCTAAGACAAACCAATTGGAGAAACTTATTTTATGAGAATTTAAAATCTGATTCATGGGTACTGGGATTGAAAATCTGTACAAAGTAATGCCAACTGCCTTCAGAAATATGTTAGCGAAGAATGGGGCAATTTGATCAAGGAAATAGCGGCCCATAAAATTCAGCAATTTCTGTTGTATTGTGGGCTCAATCTTTCCAAGCTAAGAGCTAAATTAAAAAAAAATTTTTTTTTTTTTTGGTGTAAGTCTACTAAAACCTCTAAATGTTTCTTAGCCTAAATAGTCATTAAACCATATCTTGTTTCTTCGTGCCTTTAATTTTCACATCTGCAGAATTGCTTTTAAAAATCAAATTAGATCTTTTGAAGGCACTTAAATTGCAACAACCTTATGTTTTTTTATGCTCTGTTCTGGGGCTTCAGCCTTTTCATCTGGGTTGTGTGTCCAATTAATGGGCTATCTCAAGGAAGCACTAATCATTTTGAAAACTTGAGACTATAAAAAGCAAGCAGACCATTTCCATTATAGCTGATTGGATTGAGAATAAGCTACGGAGGAAATGTTCAATAATTATGATAACTTTTCAGATGAGATCACACACACAAACTGATGTCAGTCACATCAGGTGCCTTTGACTGTGCTGAAGTTTTTCCAGTTCAGTTTGAGGCATTCCTCTTTGGGGCTCCGCTTCCGAAATGCCAGGAGAAAGTATCAAGGGTGGGTTTACACTGATTTTATCAGCTCATTGGCAAAGAAAATGTCTATTACTAGATGTACCTTGTTACCAAGTGTTTACTACATTTTAATATTGTCAAGAAAACACTGCAAATTATCAGACCTTTCCAATACATGGCAAAACTATTCCCCAAGGGGTGAACTGGTTGTCTGAGAATTTAAAAAGATTTTTGCCCAGGGAAACTGATGTCAGTAAACGAGGACCAATATTTAAATATGTTTAAGCAAAGTCTTGTTCTGAAATCACCTAATTACATCTTTCTTCTTGTATTTATTTGCCTGGTGGAGAATTTTATTCAGTACACTATGCTAAATATAACAATTAGTATTTGCAAATCAACTTCATATGATCATATCATCTAATTTAGTAATAATGGCACTGTCTTCTTTTCACTTTTCTGTACATAATGTTGAACACGCAGAGAAACTTGGGATGGGGAGAGTTAAAAAATCCAGATGTTTTTAAAGATCCAGATGTATAGTGTCAAATAAACAAAACATTAAGGTTCTTTACTTTTTTTTTCCTTTCTCATCCAGATGTTTAGTGTCATATAGACACTCTCTTAATCTGTTCAGTTACAACTGGTGTTTTTTTAATAGCATTTACCAATATTTGAATTATTTCTTCACAAAATTATCTCTAAAATCCTATTTGATACGCTCATGGGGAAAACACAAAGCATATTTTCTTCAGAAAAAAGTAGAGTATCCAGCAGACTTCGAATACAGGAAAACCATACAGTATTGTGCCTGAATCTTTACACTGAAAAATATTTCATCTGTGATGTTTCAAATTATGAAATGTACTTCAACCCAAAAGATTGGAATGGCAACTTAATTTTAATTGCCATGCATGTGTGAGTAGCTAGTAAGTAGCTTTGGAGAGTCAGAGGCAGGATCTCAAGTGTAAATGATGCCCACATTTTCATTGGGCTAGTTTCCCAATTTATTTGCTTTTTATTAAATCCTAAAATACCTTACCATTACCCTTCATAGCTACTTCTACAGATTTAACCAATCACAGAACATCTGCCCTAAATACGTACAGACCTTTTATCTTGCTGTTATTCCCTGAATGATACAGCATATCTATTCACCTAATACTTGCATTGTGTTAGATGTTATAAGTCACCTAAAGATGCTCTAAAGTGTACAGGAGGGTGTGCACAGGTTCCATACGAATGCTACATTAATTTATACATGGGACTGAGCAGACACAGATTTTGATATCCATGAGGGATCCTGATACTAAAGAAAAACTCAACCTGATATTTTAAAAACAATCCTCTGTACGTCTGGATGCATGAAAACATAGACTCAAGGATCTAAAGAGGAAAGCCTGATGGTGAGCCCCTGCCCTTCTGTGTTCTATGTGACCTTAAGTCAGTCTGTTTACCACTTGGTCTCAATTTTCTCTTCTTGAAAGTGAAAATAGGGTTGGGAGTATGGCACAGATGTAGAGCTCTTGCCTAGCATGTGAAAAGCCCTGAGTTTCAACTCTAACCCCGGCAAGAAAATATTTCAAAAAGGAAATAACTCTCACTCCAGTTAGCATGAACCTCTATTGAAAAAACTTTGCATGGCCAAAATACTTTATAAATACTTCTGCTTTATGAAATTAGTAGCATACAAAATAGTTTATTGTCAATATTACATCCACTACATAAATAATATCACTATATAAAAGCATCATTACTAATAATATGAAGTCCAAGGGGACACAGTGAAGGCAGTAACACGGAGAAGATCTGGAAAACTACTGTTTCTAAATTATATCCACAAATGATTATAATTCCTGGCTGGGCAAAATAACATGAGATTCTAACTCAATTGTGCTTCTACACTTTGCTTAGCTGAATAGAAAACCAGGTTTTGCGTTGCTCTTTTTACTGCAAATAAATAGATTAGTTGTGAAGCCCACTAGTTGTATCTCTGACTGCAGCAAGGCATTTATGCACATCTAGGACCCTCTTTTTGTGTGACTGGTAGACTTAACCCTGATGGACTTGTACACACTCCTCTCTCCTGAATGATGACAAGACTCTTAACTTTACATATGGCAGTTGTGTGGGTGCTGGCTGAACAGAACTCAGGTGTCTGTCATGGGACATTGCTTGTGTTTCTTCCCCCCCGCTTTATTGAGTTTTCATCAAGATCAAGTTTTGGCCAACCTTCCTTGCCACAATATACCATGGTTTCTAAGTAAGAAGTCAACTCATGCACTTATAAAAATGGTAACCACTAAATTTCTTTCAAACATTTTAATCTTACTTTTTTTGTAATAGCTCCAAGGTTTTTGGAAAAGGCATTAAAACTCTGGAGCTGTATGTTTAAGATAGTGAAGGATTTATGAAAAGAATACCAAAAGAATGAAAGGAAGATAGCTTAGCTCATTTTAATTTTTTTAAAGCCAGCGTGTCAAAATGCTACCAAAGCACACACACATGCACAAAACACACACACACACACTCACATTCATACACTGGGAAATTTCTTTCAAAGTTTAGCCCAACTTTTTCTCCATTGTATGACTATCTTCAAGATGGAATGAATGAATAATCCACGTTTAGTTCTTCAACTCTGAAGTCACAAATCATTCATTAGCATCTTGCCATATTTGAACACTGGCTTTGAAGAGCTGGAAATCAATACAAAAGGAAACGATAATAATAAAAGGGAAGATTTCCACCACCAAA